GGCGATATTGTTTCGTGCGCATCTCTAGAGGTCGGCACGGTGGCTCATGCCTGTAATCCCAGCACTCTGGGAGGCCAAGGTGGGCAGATCGCTTGAGGCCAGGAGTTTGAGACCAGCCTGGGCAACATGGCGAGACCCCATCTCTACCAAAAATACAAAATTAGCCAGTCTCATAAGCCGGTCTCAAAAAAGTAAACAGATGTCTAGAGATGTGGCCACTAGTGTTCCTTCTGGTGGGAGGTCACATCACGTGGACACATTTAGGAGAGTCCAAAAATGACTACAGTGACTCCCTGTACACAAGGCGTCAGGAACCCAGCAGGGCTTCCCTAGCCTTGAGCATGAACCTGCTGCCTAGGAACCCAGCGAGGCTCCCCCAGCCCCAGCATGAACCTGCCACATAGGAACCCAACGGGGCTCCCCTAGCCCCAGCATGAATCTGCTGCGTGGATCCCTCGGTGGGGATGGTGCCTAAGACGACCTCCTCCTGGGTGGGGGCCATGGCAGCAGAACAAAGGAGCCAGGAGCTTTGGGACAGGGACTAACAAGACAGCAAGAAAGGGAAGAGGCAGGGAGGAGAGAAAGGGGCAAGAAGGGAAGTGAAGTGGCTGAGGGGAGAGTGAGTGGAAGGTGGTGCCAGCCGCCTCTCAGGCTTCCCTGAAACGGCCTGAGAAGGAAGCTCCCTCTATCTTCACCACATCTCTGGTCCCCTGTGGCCTCTGCTCCTGCCTCCTCACTTCCCCACCATCCTTCCTTCACTTTCTCAGATTCAAAATTTGGGAGAAGTTTGACAGGAGCCACCAGCAGCCCAGCGTTGCCAGAAACAGCCCTGCTCATGCAGTGGTGAGGCCCGTGCCGTGTCCTGCAGCCGCCTGCCTAGCCCCACACGGTGGCAAAATGCCAAAAGACCCTAAAATACCAGCGAGACGGGATTGGTCTGTCCCTGCTAAGAGCTGCCTGGGGGTGCTACGGCCTCGCCTGCAACACAGAGCTTCTAAATTTCCACCTCCAACCGCAAGCTCTGCAAAAACCGCAGGCGAGGACAGGCTTTGGGGGGGTGTGGGACGGCGGCCTCCTGATGTGGACGAGGGGCCTCTGCAGCCTCCCTGAGGGCCGCGGGAAGCCCACAGAGCCTCGCCAGGTTCTGTCGGGCGTTACAAGAGGCGGCCTCAGCGATCCAACAGCAGTACGTAAAAAGAAGGGCTCTCAGCTTCCCTTTGGTCTCCGTTAGAAATTGATACTTACTGTATTTTGGGCCAAGTAGTCAGATTATTTTATTAGAATGGCTTCTTATAAAAGGGCATATAAGTTTCCCTAAATTAAAAATGTCTACTTTATGTACGTCTCAAATGTCTTTGTTTTAAACAATATACTATAGACACATCTTGAAATTTATCATCTAAAAATAGGATTTCATCAAAATACTCTAACTATTCTGGGCATTGATATCCTCTGTATTTACTGTTTATGGCTCTCCAGATGTGGTAAACACTATATCAAAAAAAAGCATGTGACTTTGTTGATAAGAAAAGCTCCCTGTGAAAACAAAATGAGGTGGAGAAATAGGAGCTGTGTGTTTCTTTGACAAGGAACCCAGCTTGACATTTCTGAGGAACAGGACTCATCACAAAGTCAGCATGGTGTGATAGATATATACAGATGTAAAGAGAATCGCAGGAATGGAAAGGAAACAATAGCTATCGACCCGCACATCCTTTCCTCAGCAAAAACAAAACCAACGGAAACCCTAACTCCATCCAACCCTTGACATCACACACGGCTGCGAAACCGAGACTGGAGGTGGACGGCAGAGCCTGCCTGGTGTGCAGCTGTTCCCTGCCGCTCAGTCCTGCAAAATTCCGGAAACCACCAGATACTGACTTTTTGACTAAGAACCAGGCAGGAAACCACATTGCTGATCTTCCCGATGGGAAAGCAGTATGTGTTTTGGAGGCAGATAAAGGTGGCGTTGGTTTTATGAGGACTTTTGTAGGGGGCCTAAGCAGGCATGAATATAGACCACAGAAAATCTGAAGCAAGGGGCTCGGTGGTGTCAGGTGGTGGGAAGTGTGGGGGAGCCGGGCCGTGATTTTGAAGTGGACTCGGAGGGGCCGGCCTGACTTCATCAGCCCCCATTGTGTTGTGCCCAGTGTGTTTTCAGGGTGACAGAAAGTGACCCGTCCCCTACTTGTGTCTTGCCGCCTCACTTGGAGGGGGGTGCGTGGCCACTCTTAAGACCAATTCAGCGGTCAAAACTACAGGGCAGACCTGGCCTAAGAGTGGTGCTGGGATGTTCTGACCTGGACCCAAGGGCAAAATCCTCAGGCGTCAACACCAGCCTTTCTATCTCTGCAGAGGTGGCACAGCCCCTCCAGGCCCATCTGGGGCTGTAGGAATTCTGGGACCTGGGTCTTCCAGGCACACCTGGGGCTGTAGGAATCCTGGGACCCAGCTTTTCCAGAAACTCTTGGGGCTGTGGGAATCCTGGGACCAGGGTCTTCCAGGCACTCCTGGGGTTGTGGAATCCTCAGGCCCTGCCAGTTGGGAGCAACCTGTGTGTGGTGTGATCTGGTGTGGCATGCTTCCCGCATGTGGGGTCACCCCTGACTGCCTCGACTTCCTTCTCCTTTCACTACCCAGGGCCTGGGACCCTCCTCTCCTTACAAGGGGTCCCCACTGCAGCCCACATCTCCTCTGACAGATCCCTACATGGAAAAGCTCCAGCACCTCAAACTCACTTCTGGCTGCTTTGGAAACTCTTCTCTTGCTATCAACCTTCTCTGAAGAGCTTTAATCTCTCCTTCCATGGAGTCTCCTGTGGACTTAATAAACGAACCCACACACTGTACTAGTGGGTAGCGTGAATTAATGTGTGGCTTTCTCCAATGTAGATGTCGATATTTCAGTAAAGTCTGAGTTGTTTCTGGAAGGTCAGTGCCTGAGACAACACGAACCCCAACCCCACAGGTGCGGCTTCATGGTGCTGGTCACTGGGTGGCCGAGCGCTTTCCGAGTCCCATGAATCAGACCCTGCAGAAACAGTGTGATTTGGAGCCCACTGGGGGAAAGCATCATACGCTTCTCTAGCCAACATCTCAGATGAAGGTGATTTGAGGCCTGGGTCAGAGACTTTAGCCAGGAGCTGGCCGTGCTCCCACACGTTCAGGGGAGTGCTCGCTTCTGACGGCTGCGCACGTCTGAGTCTCCCATTGCCTCTTGACTCAGTTCTCTAAGCTTCATCTTAGTGATGTCAAGTTACCAGAACTTAATAGAAACTGGTCGTTTGAGCTTAGCTTTTGCACTGAATTAAGATTTCATTTATTTTTGCGATTTTTATAAAAGATTAGTATGAGTCCTTTATTTGAAAAAATGTTCTCATATCTTTTGAAACTTTATCTTGAAGTTGCCTACTCCAGTGCCTGTTTTCTTTTCTAAAAAACTCGACTGATAAATTTGGCCTTATTTTAAATCCCAGGAAAAGTTTCTATTTCCATACTAATATCCCTACTTCTTATTATCTTGTAACAAATAGCTACAACTCAGTTTCATTTCTGCCTTCTCATTATGATAACTGTAATTTATATAGCACTCGACTATGTAAGCACGATGTTATTCTTGCACTTTCTGGGGTGGTCAGCTGGGATTATTTCCAGGAAGCCCACACTCCAGAGGTGGACACCAGCATCCGGAGGTGGACACCACCATGTTTTGCCATCTGCCATCACCGTCATGAATTTCAGAGATGGATTTTTTAAATTGGAGAATTGAGAGACTGGCTACCTAGCATGATGAATGTTAGAAATAAGTTGTCGGTGATGAGACGGACAGCAACTCGAGGCACATGGATTACGTAAAGATACTTGGAAAAGAGCCTGACCCCTGTATGAATACAGCGCCTCGGTTCTCAGGGATGACGCTGTGGGCTAAAGCCCCTGTGTCCCATCTCCACTGTGAGCTGAAGGTCTCTCATGTTGGAAGCTTTCTCTGAGGGTCACAGAATCCTGCCTGTTACATTTTTTGACAGCTGAACTTTTTTGGGGTCTTGTCCTGCAAGCTGTTGATTGGAGAATCTGAAAGAGCGGAGAGCTGGTAGCCTCTCAAGCTGAAGGTAAAGGTTGTTTTGAATTTTATTTTATGCTTGCTTTCTAATGAAAATTTAGTTAAAAAGTCAGACTTTGATTAAAGACTTCATCTCCTTATTACCTGGTAGGGAGGTTATAGGGTGGTAGCTAACCCTTACACAACGCAGACCTCAGTGGCTCTCAGTATCGGCCACAATAAACCAAACATGGTGATGGACTGAACAGGCGTGGGTGGCTTTGCAGCGTGCGTGGGCTGGGTGTTTCCAGGCTCCCCACCTCTGCAGCGCGAGTGGGCCAGGTGTTTCCAGGCTCCTCACCTCTACAGTGCGAGTGGGCCAGGTGTTTCCAGGCTCCCCACCTCTACAGCGCGAGTGGGCCAGGTGTTTCCAGGCTCCCCACATCACAGGTCTTAACTCTGCCTCACGGGGGCTTTGGGACCTCTTCCTTCACTTTGCGGGAATGGCTTTTGTTTCTCTGGTTCTATTTTAGGTGTTCAGTAATGTCGTGCATCTTAAATATTTTTTGAAAGGAGGTGGAGTATAAAAACCGAAATGAATAATGAAAATAATAGAGGATTCTTATTGGTTTCTCTGGGGCTGGGGTGGGCATGGCTTTTCTCTTCGCTTGTGGCTTATCTTCATGTGCCCCCTAAAGCTGTGCTTGTTAGACCCCAACGTCGCCGAGAGGCGCACGCAGGGCTGGGGTGCAGGGACAGGGCCTGAGGCTCACTCCTGCCTGGCAATGCGTCGGTGCCGCCTTCCAAGGCCGCAGCTAAGCCCCCTTGCCTGAATGGAGCCCTTCCCTCGGATGCCACAGGAAGAGTTGGTGCTAACTCAACAGCACGTGTGCCCCTGGGTGTGGGGGACATGGTTCTGGGGCCAGCGATCTGGGAAGAGGCATGTTCTGAATTCCAGTCTGGTTGCTTGTCCAAACATTGCACAGTCGCGTGTTTCTGGAACACCAAAGGAAAACAAATGCAGGGAACCGGCCAACCCGCTGCGTCGCCCCCAGACATGGCCCAGTCCCTCCAACGTCCCGCTCAGCTCCAGCAGCCAGGAGCCCGCAGCCTAGAGAGTCAGTAGAAACTGCTGCTGCTCTGGCGGTTTCCTCACCCAGGTGCCCAGGCCAGCCTTCTGAAAGGCCTTGAACAGCTGCTGTTTCACAGACTGGTAGGTGTGCGCCCCCAGCTTGGCCTCACAGTACATGGAGGGTGTGTCTCCGGGGCTGGGTGTCCGTGTGCTCAGCTGCAGACAAGAAGGAGAAAGAGCCAATCAGACACCAGCAGAAAAGGAGCTTCCGCCAAGTGAGTTTTACACGCCAGGCATCAGCTCCCGGCCTTGGCCTTTTGCCTTTCTTTCTCCCACTATTACAGAGAGCAACCATGACCAGGTCCTCCCGCTATTCCACAGGAAACCCAGTCATCGAGGAAACCCGCTTCATTCCACGTCTGAACGATCAGTGAGTGGGTAAACTTGACTGCTATTAAAAATATGAACACTGTGCAGGGGCTCCAGGCGGGGTGGGGGACGGAGGGGGACGGTGGGAGCTAAAATAGCATCACAGTGGGCAGGGAGCAGGCCGGTGAGAGTCATGCTGTTGGCCGAGCAGGAGGATGATGGAGCTGGGGCGATTCCTCTGTTAGCTTTCTGAGGTGTGCCAGGCAAAGCTTAGCAGCAATACAAGACAGGGATCAAATGCAGCTCTGATCCCCCCACCACAGGGCAGGGAGGCCAGGAGGGAGGAGGACGGGGCTGTGGGGGAGCTCCGAATCCCACAGCGGGTCTTCCAGGGAGGCACTTATGGGGGGGGTCACCTCGAGCATGTGCAAGAGGAGAGGGCCCTTTTGCTTAGCAGGACGGCATAGATGCTTCCCTGACTTTCCCAGTCTCCAGGAGAAGGGAGACCCGGGCAGTGCCATTGAGCGGACAGGACAGAGACTGAGAGCTGCAGGATATTGGGCGCCTTGGCCAAGCTCAGAACTAATATGTGCAATTCTGAGTGTCCTCTAAGCTGGCGAAAACGTTTATTTTAGGTGTCAGTATGCCTACCCTGCTCTACCAGTTGACAAATCAACAACACTATTATTCCGGCTTGGAGTCATTGCTTGGATTAAAAAGTACGGAAAAATGAGCGAGGCATTTTTTATGTGTTGGCTGGTTTTTCTGTTATTGGTGGTTTTTGGTCACAGTCTATGCTGCAAACGCATACCAATGTGGATTTTGATTTAAAATCCAGAACTGTTGCCGTTATCCCTGCCTGTGAAGGAGAAAGCTTGCTCCTAATCGCTGATGTTGTGGAAATGCTTGGGCTTTGGGGTTGGGGAGAAATTCTAATCCTGAGATTCATTTCCTGTGAAATTTTGGGGAAATTACACATTTTTTCTGAGTGTCGGTTTCCTGATATCTAAACCGGGAATAGTGTCGACTTCAAAAGTCCCCAGGAGCTGCTCCTGTGACACCCGGAGTGAAGCAGGCGGTGCCGTGCCCGGTGACGTCAGGGGTTCAGCAATGAGCTCGTTTCCTGCTTCCGCAGCTCCAGGCTGGTCAGGGGGCGGTGCCTGGGGCAGTCTGGGGGCGGTGCCTGGGGCAGTCTGGGGGCGGTGCCTGGGGCAGTCTGGGGGCGGTGCCTGGG